GGGAAACCAAGACACTGATTTATGTAAAGGGTGTGGAAATTGGTAGAACTCTTCCTAGGGGTGGTTAGATCTCTGACCTGAAGAAGGCAGAAACCAATGTTGCCTAACACACAGTTATTTTACCAGCTTGAGCTTACTTTAACTCTGAAACTCCTGAAAGCTTTTCAAAGACATTGAACTAGTTGGGATCTGTCACAGTCCTGATGCTAGTGGGTTCTGAAATGCAAGATGCAGCTCCACTGCTGGAAATGTGATTCTTGTGGTTTGGTGTGGCTTTAGTACCCAGTGGAACAGAAAGACCACAAGTCCCAGTGTAATAGAATTGCCCAGTTTTCCAGATAAGGTCCCAATGTGTGAAGGAATTGTTTCTTGCAGCTGGAATTGTCCATCACTACCCCTTCATTGGCCACAACTCTGGAAACTGTAGGTTTTTTTGGTTTTTTTTTTTTCTTCTTTTTAACCTCAAAATATGGATTCAAGAGATATTGTTATGAAAAAGCGCAAAATATTCAATGTTTTTATGTGTGAATTAGCATTCCATACTAACTGCTGAAAGCCAAATGCTTGTGAGAGGGCACTCTTGAATAAATAAAGTCTATCTGAAATGCCTCTAGGTCAGAGTAATGTGAGGACACATACACAAGTGGATTTTTTCCCTTTATGTTATTTTACTTTGCTACATGATGTCCTGAAACACAGTGGCCTCATTCGTCCTTGTTTTCATGTTTAATCTGAACTGATAATCTCAGTTAACCACCCCAGTTAAAGCACAGGACCCATTTGCATTAATGAGTCATCAAATACTTCTGAACAATAAACAAATGCACAAAAAGCTGCTCATGGACTATTCACCAAAGGAGCTGTTTATTCCAAACAGTCCAGGAATCTTTGTGGAAATGCTGTGAAAGCCAGGGTCTGACTTAAGAAGTCTTGTCTCTATTGTTAGTGGTTTGCTGGGAGGGGACCAGTGAACTACCAACCCTCCACTTGTGGGACTGGGAGTGTACAGTAAGACAGACAGTCTGAGGAAGTTTCTTTGAAGACTTGGGTTCAGGGTCCATCACAGAAAGCACCACTGCCAACACCAGGTTATCCCTGCTGGCAGACTTGGGTTCAGGATCCATCACAGAAAGCACCACTGCCAACACCAGGTTATCCCTGCTGGCCATGTAGGTTTCAGTGTTTTTCCCAGTGTTTTCCTAATGGCACTTTCCTGACATCTCTGACAAAATTTTCCAGTAGATTCCACTGCCTTAAAATCTGCTCTCTGTCTTGCCTACATTTTCCTGCTTAATACTCCTGTTCCCACTGAACTAACCCCCTGTCCAACTCTAAAAAAAGAGCTGTCTCAGTTGTCATCTCCACCTCTCCAATACATCAAGGGATTTTCAGCCAGGCTCTCTCAGAGTTTGTTTGCCTGCATAGCACAGAATTATCCCTTTCAGAGTTTTCTTAAGGCTTACTCAAGTCAATCCCCTTAGGCTCATAAAATGTTGTTCTTGCTGGTTCTTGGTCTCCTTCCAAGCTGTCAATAACTTTCTAGGAACACGATGCCTGGGACTTAGTGTGGTTCTGCTCGCTGTGGATGACCAATGATGGTAGAGGCAAGGAAAGGTCTTTGGCTGATGTTGCCATGATGCAAAAGGAAATGTTTCTCTGAGAAATCTCAGGCTCAGACTGAGCCTGACAGGCATGGGGAAGAGTGGGGATGGTCAGGGCTCACAGTTAGTTCTAACCATACCTGAGTATAGCAGTTGGTTCATAAGACTTTGCTGTGTGTATTGCCCACATCAGGCAGTGTGCCAGGAGCAATGTCCCCGCTGACAATCACATCATGGAAATGGAAATCATGCAATAAAACTTTCTTGTCTGTGGTAAATATCCATCCCACAGCTTTACAAGACATACAGAGTAGTCTGCAAAGCAGCTCTGGCTGGTGGTCTTTGTTTCTCCACATAAGAGAAACTGAAGGGAGGAAAATTTCCCATGAGGACTCAGAAGTGAAAGATCTGAGCAGGGCAGAGCTACTGTTACTCATCTCCCCCCTGCAAATTCCCTGCTCTTTCTGAGTGCAGAGAAAAGGCTGTTGCTATAGAAACCAGTGGGGGAAAATGTACATTTTATCATGTTTTATATACTTTTTCAAGGAGATCCTTTAATCTGAGCCTGCCACCGTGTAATTTTACAGAAACAATAATGCTAATAAAACCCCTGAATGTAACATTGATTTCAAATCAAATCAAATAATCATCAGTTACTTCAAAACCACTTTTTCTTGTAACCTTCTACCTTAGCCAAGATACTAGGACAGAGCTAACAAAGCAGCCCATAATAAGGTAGATGGCAGGAGAGTAAATGTAAGGCAGAAAAAGGTGTAATGAGAGGTGGGAGGTGGGTTCTACACAGCAGTAAGCAGCAGCTAACGTTTGAGGAAGGACAGAAAGGCTAACTAAATGTCTTCTTTTTGACTTGTGCAGAGAGAAGTATGAAATAAAGATGAAAGGGACATTTTATAGCTTAAATTCTAGTCTATCTTTTCGATTATTTAGCTGGACAACCTCCTTTGTGCTCACCCTTTTGAAGCTCTCTTCTGCTGCCCTTTAAAAAATTATCCCACCATTTCCTACTTGCCTTTGTGGAAGACCTTTGACCTCTCAAGCAATCAGACATATTGGACCCCAGGGTCTCAAGGAGGCAATGCTCTTTGTGAGGCTGCATCATGAAAGCCTCTCTCTAGCATCAGGCTTGCCTGGTGGCAGCAGCTCTCCTGGGGATCCTTCAGAGCAAAAGCCTAATTTAATCCTTTGGATGTCAAAACAGGCCTTCATTCTGTCCTCTCCACCCTCAGATCGTTTTCTACTTAATTCACCATGATCACTATTTCCCTCCTGATTTGTACTGACCCTGTGACTTGATTAGATTTTTGCCAATATTTATAGTAGCTCCTATGTGTTGATTGGTAATTTCTTCAGGACAAGGAATATTTTGCTGTGTGGAGCAATATAAGAAATAAATCTCAGTCTTGTTCCCAGGCTGTGATTGATCCTGAGCTGGGTCTCTGCTTGTTGTCCTGAAAGTAAATACAAAAAAAACCCCTAAGCAAGGCTTTGCATCACTAGTGATGGGGTTTATATTCTGCAATGTAGGATCAGGTACTGTGGGAATAAAGCAAATTAATTACACCAGGTAAGACCAAGTAAGGGTACTCTTAGCATCTCTTCCAGACAGATTCCTTCCTCTGGACCTGCCCGTAGTCCTATGCATTTTATGACTTCTTGGGCTGCAGTAAGTTCCGTGCAGGTCTCTTGAATCTCAAAGAAAAAAAAAAAAAAAAAAAAAAAAGAAAGAAAAAAAGAAAATGAGATGGCTTCTCTTTTTGGTGGTGCCTCTGAGACCTGGCTGTAGGTCTCTTCTTTGTTCCTTTCAGGGTCTCACAGTTTCTGAACACACATAATAAGAGTTTCCCATAAAGGTCTTCCCTTTTCTCTTCAACAGCCAGATGCATTTAGTGGTTAACTGGAAAGAAACAATTCCTCTTCCCTCTTTCTGCCTTACCTTATGTCCCCTGTGCAGGAAGGTAGCCTTGCTCTCTGGTTCCCAGTCCCTGGCCTTTAGACAGAACATAATGGCTGCTAACTGTGAATAAACAGCTGATACACATACTGTCTGGTTTAGAGGCTGTAAGCACTTTTAGAGCCCAAATAATATATAGATATTAATAGAATGACTGTAATGATACAATAAAAGGAAAAAAAAAACCTCAAAACCAAAAACAAACAAAAAAAACATCCTCGGGAGCATGAAAATCTAACTTAAAAAGAAATTACCATCAGTAACAAAATGCAGTGAGAAGATGAGGATTACTTTAATGAGATTATCTGCTTATTGCAATTTGTTTTTTGTGGGTGACTGTAATGCTGCTTCACCTTCATTCCCAGCCAGTTTCTCAGATGCTTCTCACCCTGAGCATTAGCTGGCCAAGCTGGATTGTGCAGCTGGGGCTCACTGGCATTCCTGTGACATCCAGCATATGTGAGCCCTGCTCTTTGGTCTTCAGCCTCCCCTACACTTGTGCCTCTGTTGTCACTGCAATGTTGGTTTTTCATGCTGGGTGGCTTTGTGTGCATGGTGGAAGAGGCAGGAATAGGAAAACATGGAAGGGTGTGGAAATCTGCTGTGTTTGTGGAGATGGAAAGACTGGTGAAAGAGATCTGGTGTATTTGTGGAGATGCGGAGAAGTAGGGAAAATAATGGTAAGGTCAATGTTATAAGACAAAGACAGAGAGTTGATTTTGAAGGCTCTTTAAAAATTCAGCTTTATCCTGTAGGCCAGGGAGACCGGATGCAGGGTCAGTAAGGCATGCATGGTTTATAGTGCAAGGAGTTCTCATTTAGTATTCCAGGGTCCCTTTACCCAGCCAATATCCATTACTTATGCCTTTCTCACTCCATCTTCAAACCTGCTCCACGTCCTTGAGGCGCTTGGGTGGGGAGCCTGTGATGTGGTGAGGATGTGCTCAGAGGGACAAGGACTCACAGAAGTGGGAGGTACAGATGGTAACCTGGAGAGATTGCTGAGATAAACAGTGATGTCTCTGCAGAGATCACATTACATTGCACCAGGGATCAACACGTCAGCTCTGTGTAGGGAGGAGAGAGTTGTTCTCTCATTTTGGAGGCAGCATGGGGAAGAGTGACTGTCTGCCTCTGCAGATATCTTTATATATAAGTTAGTGGTCAAAAAGATGATTGATGGATAGATATGGGTGTAGACACAGTTCTGTTCCAAACAGGAAAATGTGTAGCCCCTGGTGGCTGGAGGACATAAAAGGCCCTTCCAGAACTTACTGGAGATCTCATCAGGACTCTCAACCTGGTCTCAACCCAGAACTCACCTAGATTTACCTGCACGACATGAATACAGGACCTTCCTGTTATTATTGGAGAAATTAAAAAAACCAAAACCCCAAACCAACCAAACAACCAAACCAGGACACAGCTAATAAATAAATCAGGTTTAATCATAAACCATATACATATTTATAGATAGGGAGGGAGCAGTGGTCAGAAAGGTGCTGCCCTGGCAACAGGAATAAAAGGACAGTGCATTTTACCAATACAGTACCAATGAAGGGTGGAATTGATAAATGAATATGGGACACTGAATCCCAGAGGCTAATTTTTACAGACAATCATCATTCTTGGTTTCCTGTCAAATTATAGCACAAACTAGCTCACAGCTCTGCCCAGAACACAGCAAGGCAGATGTAGCCAAACACAGAACTTGAGGGTGAGGGAGGGACAATATATCTGAAGATCTTTCTGAGGTATGTATGACATATATATTCTACTGTTGTTTACTGTCTTGGGGCCGTGCTTTGCCCACAGATATGTGTGCACACATCTCATTCCAGTCAGCAAGAGTGGCAAGCTCACTTTTGAGAGAATATATTGGACTTTGAGAGCGTACAGGAGCTCATCAAACAACAGAGCCAGAAGCAGAACAGGAAGAGAAGTGAAGATAAGGAAGCCTGAGAAAGGAAATAAGTGAATGGACAGCCCCAGATTTATCTGACCAGTCAGTTCAATCCTGTTTGAACAGCTAGGGCAAAGCTTCTGTTCCGAAGGACTTCTGCAGTGCAAATAGTCAAGGCAACTTTTACTGGACAGTGAGGGAAACCATGAACAAAATTACTAGAAGCATGTCAGCAGAAGAAATATGAAGGAGCTGGCCCTATAACCATTCAATTCTTATTTTTGAAAAAGAATCCAATCCTGCCTCTGAAGTGGTCTGATTCTACATATAAGTCTGGTCACTCTCAGCTGATACAGGCAGAGGAAGAAATCATTAGTCCAGTGGCCAGAAAGGCAAAGGGTGGCATTTGTATTATGAAAATCAGAATTGGTGTGGCTGCTTTGAGAAACAACATCACACCAGGCTTGCAAAGCACCCAAATGCATTGGCTTTTTGCAGAATAATTTCACTTTCACTCAATGTACATATTAGAAAGTGTTACAGAAGAAAACCACCTTTCACTGGTAGAAAGCAGACACTGTTTAATATCAAATGCATTTGCCATCTGATTTGCTAAAAACCTACCCCCAGACAATAAAAAAAACCAAAAAATCCTAAATAAAATCTATAATACAAACCAACAATCATGTCAATGTGAAACAATAACTGTCCCAACAAACATAAAACCAAGTTCTTAATGTAGATACCCTCAGAAGTGAGTGAAAATCATGCATCCATATATAGAGTCCACTCCCAATCTGGGAATGCTCAGTTAAGACTGCTGCTCTTTGAAATGCAAGTCTCACTTTTTAAAAGGAGAGCTCCACACATGCATGCACACGTGCACATGGGCACACAGAGATACAAACACACACACACACACACGCACACACAGATACACCTAACCTCCTCTCTCTTAGTAAGAGCTGCATGCTGCGTCACTGTTCATGCCTTCTGTGCATTTTTGATCTATTTTCTTTGTAACAATAAAGTTGAAATGTCTTTACTTCTCAGGACTGTATTTTTCAAACAAAAAGGGGAATGAAGAGGAACTACATTACAAAGACAAAAAATCACTTGTATCTCAGCTGTATGATTATTCCCTGTCATCTTCAAGGATGATGTTATTTACATTTGTGACTCAGCAGAATCCACAGGAAGTTATCCTTTCTCCATGTTGGGTTTTCTCAACAAACCCCTGAGCCTGTTCTTTGCTTCCACAGACCATTTTTTCTTTAAGGCACTGCATGTGGACGTTGTCTTCAGACAGAAGCACAAGCCTCCTTCACTGGACTGTGCATTTCTCTCTCTCCCTGGACTGCCCTTCCCTGAGAACCTTTGATTTGATGTACTTCAGGTCACTGTTGACACTTGGCCGGCGTGCGAAGGGAGAGATCATGCCATAGGCGTCCATGTCCTTGACTCGGCGCATCCGGAAGGATTTCTGTTGGAAAGTGTCACTATACTGGATGGAGATTTTCCTGTGGAGGGAAGGGCTCATCTCATGAGGTAGCTTGGCCATACTGAAGAGGACATAAAACATCTCATCTACATTGGTGTTCTTCTTGGCTGACACTTCAAAGTAAGCACAGTTTTCATCACTGGAGACAAGATTCTCGCCTTCGTCAGTGCGTACCTTGCGATAGATTTCACTGTGGTCATTTTTGTTGCCACAGATCACCATGGGGAGGTCAGCTGATTCCTTGGTCTTGTTCTTCAGGCAGGATTTGACCTCAAGGATCTGTTTCTGGAGTCGCTTGACCTCATCAAAGGATTCTCTGTTGTCCAGGCTGAATACCAGGATAAAAACATCCCCTGCAATTTAAAAAAAAAAAATACTGTAAAGGCTTGTTGGTCACAGCCAGTTTCAGAGGAGCAAATTTTTAAAAAAGCAATTATTTTATTTCCATCTCCTCCCCATATTTTTTGTTTGGTCCTTTGGCACCTATTCACTCAGCTGTACTTTAGTTCTTCTCGTTTAACTCCCCACATCTTTCTGTAGTGCTATGGAAAAGACTTTTGGCTACAATGTTATTCCAATCATATCCAGTTGCATTCCTAGTTTGCACTGGGCTTGCAAGTTATTGCCTGTTTTTATCTCTTTTGTAGACATGTTTCTATCTCAGCTCTGCTGCATTACTCTTCTTTTTACTTCCTTTTGTTTGTATCTCTGTGTAAAACACATCCTGTTCTGATGCCAGAAAGAGTGGAGAGCTGGTAGCCACTCAGCCTTTGCCCATTGATTACACAATACACGAAGGAACACCTGAACTGAAGCTTTACAGCTAATCAGTCCTGAACACTCAAGTCAGAAAAGAGAGGTTTCTTGGTGTGCTCCACTGTCGTTGCATTTCCTCAAGAGAAGCAGACCATGAAAAAAACCTAATACATAAATGACACACATCCCCTGGCATTTCCTTTTGACATTTCCTGACTTACAATTCCTTTTGCAAGTAGAAAATAAGGCAAATCATTGCTTGTTGAATGACATTCATGTGGAACAGGCTAAGAGAGCTTTCAAGGACTAAAGCTCACATTTGCATCCCAGAAACTGATTCTAGGACCTCACTGAATATGGATTGTAGCCTAGTCAGATGTGAATGTCATGTTTCAGTGGCCATTTAGAAAGGTGGATGGCGAATCCAGAAATAAGGTTTGTTGTGAGCTGTGGCCGAATGTAGGAGTGTGCTCCTTGTTGACAGAGTGACAAACCTATCCTTTGTCTCCCAAAAAAGGAAAGAAGCCCCGAAGTTTCTGTCGTCGATTAGGTGAAAAGCCACCTCATAGGACCCAAGAGACTTCACCTCAAGCTTAAGGGCAGCTAACTGGATAGAAGCCAAAATGTCCTGGCTGACCAATTGGGTAGAAAAAGAAGAGAACAAAGAAACAGAGGGCTGTTGTGAGGTGTTTTTACCAGGAGCAGATCACCTGCACTTGGCTCAGTTTTTCTGTTTGGTATTTTGCCTTTTATGAAACTTTTTTTGATTCCAACACTGCAGCAGAAGCCATCCTGCTTATTTTATGCCCCCAAAAGTAGCTGAACTATCTTGGGTGTATTATATGTTCCTCTGAGAGCTTATAAGACCTGGCTCGAGGAAGAAAATATAACAGCCGAATATACATCTGCTGTCACTTTTATAATTAAAGAATATATTTTAGCTCACAACAGGAACGGCTTAACAGTGAGAAGATGCAAAATGGTCCCACCATTTCCCCTTCTTTTCTCTTTAAACATGTGTGACTAGATGCAGATTAAGAAGAAAGGGTAAAAGTAAATCTATCCTTCTACTGGAATATTAAATCAAGGAAATCAGGCTGGAAATTTTCAGAATAAAAAATACTTGGGACTTTCTTGGTTAGATTTCCCTTTCTGTGCATTTTATATTTACTTTTCACTGTATGTGTCCTACAACAACATGCTTATTTTGGCCTTTGCTGCTCTTTATACCCGCAGAATTGCATTCAGCCATTTATTTGTGATATCAATAATTGGTGAAAGTATGAAGTATGAAGTAAAGTACGAAGCAGGAGGGGAAGGTAGATGGATAAGGGAAAATCTCAATTTCAGACCTTCACTCACTGGACTTCTCCACTGTGGCTAATGCATTCCTTATAATGCTGGGAACATGCCAGCCAGGAAACATCTCTCTATAGAAATGCATCTTGCAGTAAATCAAGCAGTCCCTTTAGCTATGTCCCAAAAACCAGTCATCCCCAAGCTACGCTTTTCAAGCTAACGCCTGTCCTTTTGACCTTCCCCCTGACTTTCTCACCTGTTAGGATGGAAAGCCTCCTCATGGCAGGGAAAGGGTGATTGCCAGAGGTGTCCAGGATGTCCAGCTGATACATGTCTCCCCGTATGTTGTAGACCTTGCGATGGAAGTCCTCGATGGTGGGGGTGTACTGGTCCTCAAAGCGGCCGTTGAGGAAGCGTGAGACGATGGAGCTTTTCCCCACCCGGGAGGCTCCCAGCACCACCATGCGGTACGAGTTCTTGGCCGGCACGTTCAGGTTGCAGTTTCCACCAGACATAGTCTTCATCATTGCTTGGTTCTGAAAGAGGAAATAGCAGAGTTGGAGGAAAGATCAGAAACCAAACAGAGGGTAAAATAAGGCAGCTCCTCACCATAAGCTTGCAAAGAGCACTCTGGACCACAGTCCTGCACAACAGAGCATAGTAATCAGTGGTCCATACAGAGATTTTTTTCCACTGGAAATGTTTAAATGTTTAAATGTTTAAATGTTTTCAGTCTCATTTTCAATAAGTATTTTTGTTTGTTTTTGTTTTATTGTTGTTGTTGTTCTTTGTTTTCTTTTAAAGTAGTATAAAAATGAAGGCATTTACACTGAAAATAATATGCTTTGGAATTGTAATTTGCTGTTACATTTAAACATTAAGTGCTGAATTTATCTTTGCTGTTACATTTAAACATTAAGGGCTGAATTTATCAGCTGCTCTTCAACTGAGACACCAGGTTCCTTCCCACCATCTGTGTCACTTACACATTACCAGATTTTTCAGTAGAATTTGGTTCTCATTTAGATACATAAACACAGAGGTCAGATTCCCCAGCACAGCCACTGCAGCTGCCATTAGAACCTAGATCACTTTGTTTGGTTGCCTAAATAGGAACTGTGCATAAGACTCATTTTCTGAGATCAGCCAAAAGTCAGACAGAAACAAGAATCATGCTTAATATCAGTGCAAGCTAGACATCTCAGTAACTTTAAATAACTGGTCCCATGCAATATTCATTGCTGATGCAGGGAGCGTGAGCCACAAAATAGCACTGGCTGGTGATAAATTCAAAGATCTGTGCCCCCAGTGACCTTTTAGAAAACAGATTTTAATTCTGCTCTTTGGTCTGGTAGCGTGGGAACTCTCTATAAGCAAACTGTCATTGTTGCAGCAGGATGGCTGTCGATGGGTGGAACTGCAGAAACACAGGTTTTTTAGGAGCTCCAGTCGTTATACATACAGATGTTGCGGGTGCCACTGGCTTTGCTAAGCACAGCTGCCAAGTACAAGCAGGAGGAAAGATGAAGGACAGCCATCTTAAATAGATATTAGACAAGATTTCCAACCCATGACATCTAAAATGAGTCTAGAGACCATGGAGACTGCATTTTGACATAGCACATGCAGGAAACTTTGGTAGGAATGAAAAAGTGCTGCTCAGACCTTTTTAATGTACCAGTTCAAATGAACTGTGTGCTGAAAGAAAAATACAGCCCCTGTGTGGGGAAAGCTGATTGTTACAGCAAAGGAGGCACACTTTGGACAGAGTTTATTTTCGTTACTAGGTTCTTATTAAAGAATATTCAAGTTCCCACTGTGCCATTTATTTAACTTACGTGTTGTTTATTTAATATTACAATGCAAGTACTTTATGTACACATAAAGATCATTTCTGGGTCCAGATCTGGATTCCTATCTTTCCCTTGAGTGACTTTTATCTCCAAAGCTTTTATGTAGCTGACAATTATCTCAGGGAAGAGCTTAAAATATTTTACTTTGTTTAACATGTGCTAAGCACCAAAGCAGTAGTGAAGATACAGTCACTGCTAAATAAAGAAGTCTCTGGAATTCTGATCCAGCATTATTACAAGCTCTGTGCTATAGCCCAAGGAAACAGCAAATCACGACTATTTATTATTATTGCCTTAATTTGCATCACAACAGTGGCATATTCAGCCCTACCTAATGCACAAAAGAAAATGCAATGCTCTCTTCAAAGTAGCTTACACTCTGAATTATATTCAGAGGGCAGGACAGCCTAATATTAGACCCAGATTAATGCCAGAACACAACTTTGGATGGACACACACATGCAGAATTATGGTACTGTTGGGATTACTGTGGCAGAAATGACAGCAAGGAGCACAGCTGGTATTTGAACTGGATTCTGTGTTTGTTTACCACAGGACCTGCCTCCAATAGTGCAGAAATACCATATTCAGTCTCTGAAACACTGCCATGTACACTATCCCCAGCCAGTCCAATACTGTTTTGCATCCATGGGCAGACAAAAAATGCTTATTTTCACCCTCTGAGGCTTATTTATTTGGCAGAGAGGAGCAGGGAAACAGATGAGTTGTAAAAGCTACAAGCTACTTTACCATCCAGGACCACTATCTAGAGGTGAGGCAGCTCTTCAGGCCGTGATGGACCAGTGCAGCTGCATGGGGGCAAGTGGACTGTGTGGTTTACACCTGCTAGAGAGCTTCTGCACTTTTTCTCTCAGTGCAAAAGCGTCTGGGAGAGAGCACAGTTACACATTTTGAGCAAATGCCTTTTATGTCCTGTACAGAACATGCATGCTGAGGGACCTGACCACTTTACACTGTCCTTGTTCCACCTGCCAAGGAATTCAGTCAAGAGGACCCCCATGCTTTCATAACTGCATTGTATTTCCCTCAGAGTCAAAATATGCTTTTCAGCATTTTGATTTGTGGAGTTGCTACTCATCGCCTCTGCTGCAAACCTGACTCAGAGCGTGCCATTGAACTGGGAGCTTACATTTTTGTTTTGAGCCTTCTCTTCTTATCCCCTCAGTCCAGTTTTTTCTCTAGTTCAACACAGTCTGTCTCCTTTCCACCTCAGAAAAGGAATGAAACTTCAGCCTTGACAACCAGGAGTGGCAGGGGGAGCACAGGGGCTCATACAGTGAAAAAGATTAAAGACAGTAGAAAGGAAACAGAGAGACACCACATGTTCATGTACTAAGTAAAGCAAAATCAATCAGAAGAGAATGAGGAGACAAACAACCTCCAGCTGGCTTTAATCTACATATTTTCCTTCCAGTTTATTAAATGCTTAAGCATAGATTAATTCCCGGTGGTACCTTCTGCTTTATGTACTGGCTTGATGTTAGAAAGTTTATATTAGTATTTCATATAGTTACAGTGCAGGGATTTCAAAATGTCATAGAAATTCAGGCAATTAATGTTATCTCTAAATAACACTAAATTAAGGGAAAAGCTCATTTGCCCAGAAAAAGCTGAAGCCACAGTCCAAAATCAACATTAAACCCCATTTCTCTTGACTCCCTGTGTTATCCTCTACCAGCTAAGCACCATTTCCCTTTTTATAGGCAGGCATCAGAATGAATGACAATGAACCTGCTTTTGTATGCTCTGGAGAGCACTTGTCTGAATGCCGGTGAGCTACTGACAAATCTGAGCCTGAGCACCCACAGGAAGATACCTAAGGAAGATATTCTTTATTTAACCTACCCAGAGCTATTGCACCTTAGTTTTCCATCCTCCCATCAGGGTGTACGCTCTCCCTACAGCTCCCCATTCATGAACAGACTTCTGAACTGTTACCTCCCTTGCACACCTCTGTCTTCAGCTGCTGGTTGTGTCTCTGTTTGCCACCCCAGTATTAATCACTGCACCCAGCTAAAAAGGACATAGGCAGACACAAACTGTAACATGCATAACAGACCTGTCACTTCTTACTCACTACTAGTGTCCCTGTAATTTTCATGCACACCAGAATCACTCCTGTGGGATGTTTGTTTCCTACTTGCACTGCAAACTCCGTGCTGATTTCTTACCTCTCTTTCCCAGGAGGAGCAGTCCTGGGTCTTGGTGCAGTCTGATGAAGATGATAATTGTAATCAGAGGTGACTGCTGTTGTAAAAGGCTGTTGCTCTGTGGATCCCACGCTGCTTATTCTGGGCTCAGTTCTTCTTCAGTATTTCCCAAGAACTTAGCAGGATTGGGAAGGACCGCAGGGCTCCAGAGGGCGTTCCCCCATGGATGTGAGTGCTGGATCAGGCAACCGACTTAGGCTAAAGAAGTCTCAGAACTGGTGGCAGTTTTTCCCTTTGGGCAGATGAGCTCTTTTCCTCGCAGGTTCAGTTCAAGAAAAGGAGAGGCAGAGTCTCTCCCACTCCCACTGCTTTTTCTTGCAAGTTGTACTTTGTAGGCTCTGCTGCGGGGAAAAGAATTTCAGGAGCAGCACCTACTCGTGTAGGATAGCGGGTGCATCCAGCTGGCCCACCCTGCCTCTGTGCCGCCTCAGATCCTCTGCAGAGAGAGCAGGGTCGGCATGGAAGTTGCCTTCAGTGACCCTATGCTTCCCCAGATCTTGCCTGGCTCATCCCTTCCCACGGGCTTCTTTTCTTCTGGTCTGAGATTTGCTTTAAAATATTCTCTCTCTAGGATAAAAGAGGCTTTTCCTTCATTTGCCAGTTAAATCTTTTTTCCTTCCCTCCCTGCCTTTCTCCCTCTCTCCCTCACAACTACTGGCAAATTGCAGATTTTCCTTCTGTAGGACTCACAGATAATTGGCTCAACTCCTCCCTTAAAGTCAGTGTCAGACACTGGGGAAGGAGGGGTGCTGAGGGGGTGGGATTTTTTGCCTATTGGAAAAATCTTTTCTCCTCTAAAGAGAAAGTTCGTGTGCATTGCAGACTGTACATTCCCAGTACTTTCCACCAGAGACCTGTATGTATGCATGTGTGGGGAATCAGTTAGTGTATGTGTATGAGAGACACAGAGAATTCAGGATCTTAGCAAGCTGTAAATTCATAAGCTGTTTCTAAAAGCTCTATGTCTCCCTGCTGATTTTTCCTGCTAGACAGCAGCAGACTGACTCATTCCCAAGGTAGGGGCTTTCTGTCCGTAATTTCTGTAAATCTTTTGCTGTATGGAATGCTTTCCCCTGTTTGCTCAACCTCAAGACATTTACATGGTTTGATTAAGAAATAAGAATCGTGTGTAACTGTTGTTCTTTCATTAATATTTAAATAAATCGAAAACCAAACTAGGGATGAATAATAGAAATGTTAAAAAAGGTCAAACAAACCGAAAGTGTGTGGAACTGAAACTCAGGAAAAAGAGAAAAGCAAACTAAAAATAGGATGAATTCAAGGCATTTGTTCAACCCCAAGTGAAACATTGTGTTTGCAGTTTATTTTATTGCTGATCTACTTGAATATTTTTTTCTTCTTTTTGAGCTGAAATAGTAGTTTAGATCTATGAATTTCTTTTAAAATATGTTAAAAACTTGATTTTGAAAGATTTGAAATTAAATACTTCAGCATTTCCCATTTTAAACTCCTAATTAGGGGTGGGGCAGGAAAGGAAGAATAACACAGATATTTTCAGGATATTTTGACAACATGAAAATGGAAGGGAGGCACAGTCTTCCAAATACAAACACAGTTTTAGGTCTCCCACAGTTCTCCCTCTTCTTCTTCTTTTTTTTTTTTTGTTCCCCTGAGAAATTTACTCTTTGTTGAATGCAAAGGTTCTTTCAACTATTGTGTATGTATCATCTCAAAGCCTCCTCCCCTCACCAATTCCTGCAGCTTTTGAGGAATTTCCAAGATGCTTCACTTTCCTCCTTTTCCTCAGAGCAGAGGGATGTTTCTCTTGCCACCCTTGGAATAGAGCTTCCCTCCTTTGCTCCTGGTGCTGCACAGAACCCACCCACAGCAACCACTGAGGAGGAATCCATGGCTGTTGCAGGCACAGCCTGACGAGCCTGTGAGTGTCTCTGTGCTCCCAGACCTCAAAGGATACAGCACAGGCTGTGGGATGAGTCCAGCTGGAACTGTCTGTGAGAGGAAGCAGCTCCCACTGAAGTCAGGGTCACGGTCATCCCAAGCAGGATGTGCATCTGGGGACTCACAGGCTAACACAAGGCAAAACAACATTGATCAAATTTGGGAAGAGGCAGATCCAGCAAAAAACTTCAGATTTGGGAAGAAAGGGCAGGACGTGGCAGAGCACCATTACCATTGAAACATTGCAGCAGTACTTAATTGCTATTGGGTCACAAGCAGAGCTCTTGGGTCACTGAACTCTTTTTGGACCACAGTACCAGGTCTCCTTTGTCAGCTCCTGAGCCTCTTGGCAAAAGGTGTGAGAGTACATTCATGGCTCAGACAAATTTTTGACATAAGATATGATGCTTCCTATTTGCAAGTCATTAGTTCAGATAAAACCTGGACAATTTCTGGTGTTTTGTCAGCTCTTGTGTAGCTTAGATCCAAAGAGAGTGACCAGCATCCTGGTATCATTGCCATAGGAGCAGGAATGGCCATAGAACTCAGCAAAGTGAAATCCTGTAGTCCTCCAGAAAATAAACTCCTCTTTCATCCCTATGGCTCACTTGTCAAGTGTACCGAGTTCTTTACCAAGAAAGAAGTGTAGTCATAGTGGAGACCATCTCATCAGCCTGGAATTTCAGCCTACTCGTACTCTTTTGTAAACCAGATGCAAAACTCTTGGCTAGCTGGCTTCACCCAACCCAAACTCCTACTCAGCTATTCTCTCCAGCATTTCAAGTAACCAATCAAGTTCCTTAAATGGTAATTAATAAAATAAGAACATTCTTAACTAGGCATCTTAGCTTTATTTGATCTCTTACCGAACAGCTAGTAAAATAATAAATTACTTTTGAAGTAATAACTTTTGAAAGATAAATGCTAACTGTGAGGCTTCAGAGGCTTGAAAGACATTGTAGCTTTTTGGGCTGGTATTTTTTGTTTCATTTCTTCTGGTGTGCTAGCAGTCAAGGAGTTGACTAAAAGTTGGGTTTCATGTTTTCCCTCAGGGCCCAGGAGACCAGAGGTCAAAAAAATCCCTACTTTTTCAAAGACATCCCATGAGTGGCTCTGGTGGAGAAGTCACATTACATCTGCCTTCCTCTGAGGAGCAGGCATGGCAGTACCTCTTTGCTTTGAGGATTATAAGGGGAATAAGTGAATCAGAGAGACAAAGTCTCTGCCAAACAAGAGAAGTTCCCAGTCTCAGCAGTTTCCTCTGATTAGTCAGAGACCATCAGCCTTTCTTAAATCTTGCAGATATTTATCAATTTAAAAGCCAGGCTAGCAACATATTAGTCTCTAGAGGCATTTCTTCCTCCCACTCTTCCAGTCTATAAAGAAGGCCTAAATGAGGTTTTTATCCAGCTAAGGCTGTTTAGGAGGATGATAAGCAGTGGCTACAGAGAACAACCACTGCTATGAAGGGCTGTGCCTGCCTTGCTGAGTGACAGGCTGGAGGGAAGGAATGCCATCCAGAGGGATCTTGACAGGCTTGAGAGGTGACCCCATGTGAACCTCATGAAGTTCAATAAGGCCAAGTCCATGGTCTTGCATATGGGGTGGTCCCAAGAAGAAATACAGACAGGTCAGGGAATGAATTGAGAGCAGCCTGGGGAGAAGGACTTGGAGGTGTTGGTGGATGAGAGGCTTGCCATGACCCAGCAATGTGCACTCACAGCTCTGTATCCTGGGCTGCATCAAAAGAAATGTGCCCAGGAGGTCAAGGGAGGGGATTCTGCCCCTCTACTCAACTCTCATGAGACCCCTCCTGGAGTGCTGCATCCAGCTCTGGAGTGCCCAGCATACTAGGGACATGGACCTGTTGGAGAGGGCCACAAAGATGATAGGAGGGATGGAGAACCTCTCCTATGAAGACAGCCTGAGAGACTGTCTCTCCTTTCCTGGAGAAGAGAAGGGATTCCTTATAGCACCTTCTAATACCTAAGCAGAGTCTACAAGAAAGGAGAGGAGATAGGACAATTAGTAATGATTTTAAACTGGGAAAAGAGAAATTTTGTATTAGAGTTAAGGAAAACAATACTTACTATGAGAGTAGTGAGGCACTGGAACAGGTTTTCCAAAGAAGTTGTGGATGCCCCATCCCTGGAAATGTTCAAGGCCAGGTTGGCTGAAGCTTTGAGCAACATGGTCTAGTGGAAGGAGTCCCTGCCCATGGAAGGAGGGTGGAACTAAATGATGTTTAAGGTCCCTTCCAAAAGAAATTGCTCTGTGATTCTGTGGTTTGTTGGCTCAATGGCCATTGGTGCAGGTAGCTGTTGTCTCTGATGCCAGCATGCAGGTCCTGCCAGCTCATCCGTGGGGCTGCCTCAGCTGTGGAAGGTGCCACAAGTTGTGCAGGTGTGACTGGTGCACAAGGACCTGTGTGGCTTTTGGCCCTGCCCTGACCATGGGTGAGCAGAGATGGAGGACTACAGGCGGCAAGCCAAGGGAAGTGAAAGAATGTAGCGGAAAGAGGCTGGGAAGAAAGATGTACAGAGGAATGGGGAGAGACAAGAGGATGTTAGAGCTGATGTGTGTTGCACTAACCACCTGGTTTCAAATGGTGGAGACCTAAATGAAGTGACTTACTATATGGGGAGGCACAATTGCCCCTCAGACCTCTCCAAGGAGTTTGCTTCTCCAAAGAAGAGTGCAGCTCTCAGGCACCACACATGCTGCCCATGCTGGCACCAGGATGCAGGGCAATGTGGGCTCATACAGTTGCACTGTCACGAGTAATTTAACACCTTCTGCAGCTTCAGGCACCGGCAGACATAGACTGATGTGCTGGGCTGATGCAGCAGGACCAATCTGTTTCTCTCCACCTTAAGGCAAATGACAGAAGTGACAATCACATGCCATTCATCTCTGGTCAGAATTAGTTCAAGACAAAAGATGTTCCAAGCCTTTTGTCTCCTCTTCAAAAGCAAATGCAATGGAGATTAAATATTTAAACCAGTTTTTTCTCTCTCTTTTCCCATTCCTTTTCACTCTCCTCATTATTCAGTAAAGCTCATTTTTCCACCCCCTCACCTTCCTTCCCTCCCTCCCTCCCACATTCATCCCTCCTGCTTGGTACTTCTCTCTTCCAGCAGTGCTGAAAAGTTAGTGTTCAGGAGCCAGTAAACTGCAGGCACCAAGTCATATTCTGAACAGCAAATAGATGAGCAGCTGATCTGTTACTGCCTCTGAATTATCTGTACTCCCCCCCCCAGTGTTTAAACTCAGTGAAGGGCTCTCCAGGGGTGTTACAGTGACTGGGAAAATAACTAATAATCATTAGTTATGAGTGAGAACAGTAATACTTGAGAGAATGCAGCTGGAGAAGGCATACAATTTAGAAAGTGGTGGTTTGACTTTTATTCTTGGTCCTGTCACAGAATTTGTGCATGGCTGTAATTTCTCAGCATCCTAGGGTGTAAAATGTGTTAATAGTAATTACTGAGATCCCTGCAAAATGGAAAATATTGCTGTGAAAAATGAATTCAAGTCACCTCTTTTTCCTGCATTTCTTGTGAATCAGTGCTTTTTTACATTTTGATTAAATATTTTTGAGAAAAGACTGCATTTCTAGTCCCCCTCCTTTCCATTTGCCACTGGCACAGCATGTCCAGGTTTCCTTACCAGACATGCATACATCCTTACATTTTTATTTCACTGTTGAACATTTTAAAACTCTTCCCATCTTGGAAAAAGTAGTTAAAAGCAAAATTAAAGCTTAACTTCTCTCCCCTTATTTGGAAAACCTTCAGGATAGAACATGGGGGAAGAAACCTGCTGAAGTGTACAATTAATTTCCTTGCCCCCAGTGAATATCAAGGTAGGGTTGTTTATGGTCTATCAGGCTCTGATGGAGCAAAAGCAATCCCCAACATGCCCCTCTGTGTATGTTATGATCCTGCTGGAGCAGAAGGGCAAGTCAGGCACTCACCTGTGCCTGCAGAGCGACTGCAGAGTGCTTCAGGAAGGAGTGGCTGTAGGTAAACTTCACCATTTCCAGTTTCTGTTTAGCATCCCATTTCCCTAGCTGCTCCCAGGCCCTGTGTCCACACAGATAACTGCACACCTGTGAGGGAGCCAACACATGTCTCTCCTGCTGAATGATGATGGTAGGAGGGGGTTCATTCAGAAAGGCTCCAAAATCTCTCACATCGCTGACACCTTCCAAAAGACAGAGAGGAAAACAATTCCTTTTGGGCCATTTCTACAGCTCTGTTCCCAGTGATGTTGCTTGGATTCCCAAGAAATGCACTCACATGTCCTCTTTTACCATCCATTCTGACTCCCTACCAGGGCTGATGATCATCTCTTAAACATTTTAACCTGCAATGGGAATATGGACAACTAAGGAGAGCAGAGGGGAAGGAAGACTTGGGAAAACATCAAGAGGACTAGGGATGAGAGCCCTGTAAGACTTCACAGAAAAATAGCTAACCAAAAGCACAATTAAGCCTCATTAGATGCAGCTAAAAACAAAGACAAAACAAATGGAACAAGAAGAGGTGCATGAAAAACGCATGAAAGAGAGACTGACAAGCCAGAGCCCTCTGCATCTCATGTGGTGCTGCCTGTGACCAGCTATTTTATTGGGGTCTCCATTAAGAAGTGGCAATTGCAAATCTGGGTCTGGCCACTATATTTGGTGTCAGCTAGTTCCACATAAACATTCCCAGTCAGAAACTCTTCTTGCCTAGTGATCTGTCAAGGTCAGAAAATGGTTTCTCTAAGGATCTGATTTCTCACATTCCTTCATACTCTACCAACACATTCAATCTACGCCTGTGCCTCCAGAAAACAGGGTGAACTCACCTGTGAAACCTCTCAGACTTTACAGGTACATCCTTCCAGCATAGCTCTGCTCACACCAAGGTCTTTTTATGCCTGCCTGCCAAGTTTCTCTAAATCCAGTGCTTCTCCCTGAAGCCATAAGTGTGGACTGCGTGATGACAAGCTGACCTCAGACAATTCCCTCGCTTGTCTTCCAGGAGCCAGAGCCTGAGCACTAAAGCTGTCTAATACTAAGTTATCTTCTTGGGTTACCACCACTCCATGGTGGCTCTGGCTCTACATCTGCATGATTCTGCACACAGGTTTTATTTGGGACTTGGTTTCACTGCAGTTATTAACAAGAACACGTGAATTAGAGCTCTGTGTCTTCACACAGGGTTAATTGTTTCTGTGCCTTCCTCTATCTAAAGGATCAGTTCCATGTTAGAACCTGGGCATTTACAGTTCCTTTATTAAGAAAATAAGAATGTGTCAGGGATTGAAAAATGCCTCATCCCTTTGATTTGAGAGATATTATAAGCCTTTATTTTTCATGAAAGGAAGACAGTGAATGGGAATATCACTCTGAGGGAAGAACAGGTGATAATGACAGGTTGTTCTTTTATATTTCTTTTTTGTTCTTGTTCTGTTTTCCTCTCTCAAAGGACTGCAATCATGTACTCAAGAACCAAAGTAAAATCCATTATAATAATAATAAGGTAATACTACATACTCGTAGTGTAACTTTTTTGCTAATATCTCTATACATTCTGCAAATATCTAGGAAGTGAAGCTCAGTGTCTCAGGAACATAAATATTTTAGCAGTTTGCAGATGGAAAAACTGAATGTGCATACAGGTTTGGAACAGTTACTCCCAGGTTACCCAGAGTAAGCATCTCCAGACTTAAGCTCCCCGTGCCCACACTGCAAAGTAACTGAAAGCTGAGCAGCCATTACTAATGAGACAGCTGCTGAGCATGAATTAATTGGTCCTGGTGAGAGATTATATAGCTTTTGGCTAGTTCAGAGCATGAGCTGAGTGAGTTTTATCTGTCTGCGAAGTGCCACACAAATAATAGCCTTCAGGCTGCATGACTGGAAACAGTTCCCAGTCCCCAGCATCATCTGTACAGCCAGGAGGTGACACAGCACACAGAGATGTGTGCATAACAACCTCATTGCAGACCACCAAAACCTTCCTGGGAAGTACACTAATGGACATGTTAATAACCTCATCTGCGTCCTTGAAAGGAACCAGAGCACAAAACTGCTTTGGCCCATTTTTTAAAAGGCAGTGTTGCCTGCTACAATCTCTCCACAAATATATGTCAGGTCCTCAAAATCATAAAACAGGCTTAAAAACTGCAAGATTAAAACCAACTAGATAAGAGGAAAGAGACCCTCAGGGTGTTTCAAGGTCAGGTTTTCCTCTGCAGTGGAAATGACTAGCATCTTACTTTTTAACAAAAAAAAAAAAAAATCAAAACTCTGGTCAAAGCTTCTGTATTTGCACATATTTACTGACAGGGGTCAAATTTGAATGGGCCCCTTTTGTTAATATGAAATTGGAGAATTTTCCTGAACCTACCTGGTTCCTCTGCCTGCAAATCTCTCTAATGGTCTGTAATCAGCAAAATTCAGGTCTTTTAGCAACATCTACAATCAGGTCTTGTTTGTATGAAGGCAGCAGTGCAGTTGCCTGCCTCCTCTGGGGCCAGATTTTAAGGCTGGGGCAATCCCACTGGATCCTGCCCAGCAGAAGCAGGAGGGCAGCACCAGCCTTTCCTTGGTATGAGTGTGTGTCCTCTGCAGGCACAGTCCTCTGCAGTGCTAGCCTGGCACCCCACTTTTAGCAATGTAAAGAGTGATCATTCTGACATGAAAGTCTATCAAAGTGCCT